GGAATTTGAGAACAAACAATGGAATTTGAATGAAAACAACGGAATTAAAATGAAAACGACGCAATTTGAATGAAAACAACAGAATTTGAGAACATACAATGGAATTTGAATGAAAACAATGGAATTTGAAGGAAAACGACGGAATTTGAATGAAAAGAACAGAATTTGATCAAAAACAAAAGAATTTGCATGAAAACAACAGAATTACAATGAAAACAACGGAATTTGAATGAAAACAACAGAATTACAATGAAAACGACAGAATTTGAATGACAACAACAGAATTTGAGAACAAACAATGGAATTTGAATGAAAACGACGGAATTTGAATGAAAACAATGGAATTTGAATGAAAACGACGGAATTTGAATGAAAACAATGGAATTTGAATGAAAACGACGGAATTAGAATAAAAACAACAGCATTTGAATGAAAACGACGGAATTAGAATAAAAACAACAGCATTTGAATGAAAACAACAGAATTAGAATGAACAGACCAGAATTTGAATCAAAACAATGGAATTAGAATGAAAAGAAAAGAATTTGAATGAAAACAACAGAATTTGAATGAAAACAATGGAAGTTTAAAACAAACAACAGAATTAGAATGAAAACAACAAAATTAATCAATCTGTGTTGCCAGCATAGACTATATATAAAAGATCCACTTAGCCATGGTTTATTGTCTGTTTTAAAGCCTTGATTTTGGTATTTTTGGTTGCCACCAGAGCCAGGCGTGACCATATAGTTGACCCTTAAAAAAGGGGTGAAGCACTAAGTTATCCGCTAACGCTAGCAAACCTGTCTATGTGTGTCCAAAAAAGAGACACTTGATAATTAACGCTAAGAAACAACAAACTTGTTTATTAGAATTTCACAATTTCTAATTGGAGCTCAGATTTGTCGGTGGTGCGCTGAGTGACACAGAAAGCTGTGTTACTTGTTGAACAATTAAAAATACTCAAAAAGGCAGCAAGACTCTAAATACACTTGAGAGGTTTTGTTTAAGTGACTTGTGGCAAGGTCTTACAGAAAGCTAGTAGCTACAGCTGCAGAGACCAGGCTCTAAACAATTTCTTCTATGAAGTTGGGAGTTTTAACAATATCTGGATACATTTTTGGCAACCAAGCAGCAACCTTCAGGACTAAAAACTGAAACCAAAGCATGCTGCAGTTCCTCGACTGGCCACGTAAGCCTTGCTTCAGACAATCCTGGGGCCATTCTCAAGTGGCTTTTTTAGAATGAGTAAATTTCTTTTGCCCTTGAGGTTGCTACTTAGTTGCTAGAAAAGGCCAGACTGTATTAAAAATCTTTAACTTTGTCGCCTCCAAGTAGAATTTTCTGCTCTATCCATCTAAGCCTTAATAGTTCACTCTTTTGTCAGAAGCAGTTGTAATACATAAAGGGTTTTCTGTTTCCTTTCATTCACCTACAGCTGTGTAAAATGTTGTTTATTCCAAAAGCACCTTTGCAGTATTATCTGTTTTGCTGTCACCAAAGAATGAATGGTCATTTTCTATTTGGCTAGTAAGTGTGGGAGTTAAAACGAATGTGTCTCTGGTCGTGTTTGAGGAGGACGTGGCACCATTGGGTCAGAAGCTGTTTGTGGCATAACTCTGACTTTCTGATCACATTGTCCACCCTGTGAGTGGATGTTAGCTGTAGATAGGAATATCAATGATTGATGAGTTTTTTCCTTTATGTACTGTGAGATCTGTATGATCTTGTGTGTTGCCCTTGGGTGTAAACCTTGTACCTCCAATGTTAGCATTTTAGAAACTTTAGAAAGAAAGGAAGGAGAAGAAAAAAAAGTACAGTTTTATTTCCTAAGAAGTTAGGAAAGTCTTTCCTATGGTGTTTGTAAAACCAATGTACATTTGAAATGACAATGTATGTTTGTTTGTTTTTTTACAGTTATTTTACAGTAAGTTCATCTGCACTCAGCAACCTAGGTGTGAGAGTCCCTTTTTCACTCTCTCAAATTCCCATTTTTCTGCATAGATTAGTCTACAAGTGTCTAAGCCAGGCGCTGTTTAAACAATGGCATTTCTAACACTGTTCCTATCACCTTGGAAACGCCATGGCAACCTGTGATCTGAGAGGGCACGGTGTGGCTCAATTAGCCCCAGCCGTATCTCACCGCACTCTCCCGCCAGAAGAATATCTCCATATTCTGTCTCCTTTCATGCATTAAGTGACACAAATACGTGAAGTGTTACATCACCTTTTATGTCAACTTTCCATGTAGTTTTCCTCTCTCTCTTTTTTTTACACAGTGATGGATGCACACACACATAGGAAAGAAAGAATAATATATGCATTGCCATGTGTGGTACAGACAGTAATTGGCACTCCTCATTTGCCACTTTTAAATGAGATCCTGTCCATCTAGCCACTAAATGACTTTCATGTTTTTATGCTGTGATTGGGCCTCAAAAAGATCCTTTGTGTCATACTGGCTGCTAGAATGACAGGAAGGTTGCAGTCACTCTCAGACACCTTTTTCCTTCTTTAATTTCTAGCAGTCTGGTAGATGGAGCTTCTTTATGTCATTATTGGCTGCTTATAACAAACATATTAACTAATAAGAAATGCATCACTGTGTTTCCCAGGTATCGTTTCCAAGTCCTTTGAGTGTCGTCTGAAAGGCCAGGGGGCTACATTTGTGGAAGCAGAGGATATGGGCTCCCCTTTGCACAGGAAAGACTCTTCTGAGTTATCGGGCCATGACGAGATCCAACAGGTCATCATCATCCAGGGCTATGGTGATGGAGAGGTAGCTATCGACCAGACCCTCGAGGAGTCAGCCGCTGCCACCCTGCAGACGCTGGCCATGGCCGGCCAGGTGGCCGAGGTGCTCCACATCACTGAAGACGGACAAGTCATAGCCTCGGGCAGGGAAGTGGCATCCGCAGGAGCCCACCTGGCTGGAGGCAGCACCCAGTACGTGGTCTTGGAGTCAGGGGAGGCCAGAAAGGAGTTTCAGGCTGTGGCCAGAGGAGGGGTAGCAGTCGCAGCTGCTGGTGGACAAAGTCACATTGTCTCAGAGTCCTCCACAGCTCTCGATGCTCTGCTCAGCGCAGTCAGCGAAATGGGCCATCAGGAGGAAATACAAGGAGAGGCAGCCATCGTTCATGAGGTCTTGACCCCAGAGATAGCTGAGGCTGTGCAGAGTGAAGTGCAGGGGGAGGGGAAGCAGGAGGGGGAGGAGCAGGTGCAGGTCATCCAGGGGACCGGCCAGGAGGACATGCAGGAAGTGCTGCAACTCGCCGCGTCCCAGATGATGAAGGAAGGCCTGACCCAGGTCATCGTCAATGATGAGGGCACGCACTACATTGTGACTGAGCTGGACAACTGCACCTTACAGGTGGAGGGAGAAGTGTATGGAGAGGCCGGGACAGGTGACGGGGAGGTGCACCAGGCGGAGCAGCAGACAGGAGAAGAGATAGTGGTGTACCTGGATTGAGCTGCTCGCAGTATTGTCCTGGAAGGGTAGAGGAGAGAGACATCCCTGAAAGATGCACATTGGGCATTTTATTTCACTTCCCCTGTTTAGCTATGTTAAAGCTCACGTTAGCCCAGATGTTGTGTTCTGCATTGTCTCTGTTTAATTTCACCCTGCTTCATTCACTTCGTACATCACTTCTACCATCTTCTCTTGGGCTACACTGAACTCAGGTTAAACATCGTTTATTCAAAGCGACAGTAAAGGAAAAAGGTTTTGGTGCTAAGTGAGCTAACCTGCAATCCACACAGCCGCCAAGACTGCTTTAATTAATTAATGCAACTTAAGGAAATGAATGAGTACACATTGTCATGAAATATTTTTACAATGCTTCTAATGTGCTAAGAGTTAAACAAGTTATTATAAAGAAAGTCTATCTTTTCATTTATAACAGAGCTAACAGGTTTTTTTCTTGCTTTTTGATTTCTTTGTGGTACATTTATGTTGCAACCTAAAGTTTTTCTATAGCAAAATAGATGTTTTTTTCCTTTTGATAACGCAGTGGTTTAATTTGTGTGAGCAATCTTTTCTTTTTCTTCAAATCCTTTGTGTGTGTGTGTGTACTATTAGTTCCAAATCAGTAATACGATGAATGATTTCCCAAATAGACCTTATACATATTTTCTGTGTAGCGAAAAGTAAAGCAATGACAATTATACGTTTTAGATTTTTGACAGTCCTTCATTGTGTGGAAGGCCTGTTTAAAAAAACAAAACAGGAGTGCAGTTTCATTTTTGAAAATAAAGATTGAGCCTAATTTTTAACAAGTGTGCCCACATTTGTTTTCTTGGCAGTTAGCGCTGTTGATAGTTATGTCAGCAGCACGATGCTATCGTGCATACAGTGCAGCAGCATCGTACAGGCGACATGCACATACATGCATCAACTGATGGTTCCCATCAAGCTTTCTGATCACTAACACCGTCATTATCATCACCATTATCATTATCGTCATCATGATCACCATCATCCTAATCGCCATCCTCTCATCTCGTCCCCCCATCAGGCCCATTCTGTTCATTGCATTTTTTTCTCTTCCCCCCCCCCCCAGCACTATTCAGCACTGGAGGGAGAATCAATATTCATTTAGGCCCCTACACAAGCCTGGTTTCTGATGGAGTGAGTGGGAGAGCGGTGTGACGGTTGCAAACACAATGGCCAACCACTGAAAGTAGAGAGAAAGCACTCGTACACACTGAGGGCATCAAAAGATCATCCCTTTAACACACACACGCTGCGCGAGCAGAGCAAGAAGGTGGGCTGAGAGGGAGAAAGTGGTGGAGGAGTGGGCAGGAAAAATGAGAGCATTACAGATGGATGTTGAGAGAGGTGAGGCCAGGGAGAAGTGAAAGAGCGGTGAAATCCACAGCCACACAGAGAGAAGGGAGCCTGTAATTTCACATAACACCTGTCTGCCTTTCAGCCTGTCTTTGTCTCCTGCTCCCAGCCTCATGTTGCATTTATAAGCTCGCACAGTCTTTTCATGCTCTTCTTCCTTCTATTCAGCGGAGATGGGCGCATTTAACGGAGGTCACGTTCTCTGTGTGAGCAACCATACGTGCCTGTGAGAGCCAAGGTTTGTCAACACCCACTGAGTGGTGAGAATGCACTGATAGCATTTAGATGCCTCACATTTATAGAACTTACAGTTTGTTTTTATAATGCTTCCAAATATGTGTTATTCAAGAGTCATGTCACAACAACAGCAGTATGTGCGACTTCTTTTGTGACCTCTCAGTGGGCTCCTGATGCCAAGGTTGAGCAGCGCTGCTTTAAATAATGAATTTTGAAGAGAAGTGCTGTTCAGTCAAATAGATGCACTGCACTGAGGAATAATATTTATTTTGGTGCGTATGTACTCATTAATTATAATATTTTGATTTAAATTGGCTAATCTCATAACGGATATGCACATGTTTGAATAATATTAGAAAGTAATGTAATATGGTACACTGTAAACTATATATAGAGATATCTACATACACTACTGCTGCCAGAGGTTTAAAATAAAAGATTACCCAAAACTGAAAAATAATGTACATTTCAGAATTATACAAAAAGGCCTTTTTCAGGCCTTTTTTAAATGAGTTAACAAATTAAAGCTCTTCTGCAGCAATGGAGGTTGATCAAGCCTTGAAAGCTGGTGCTGCTAATTCCTACAGATGTTCCAACTTTTCTGGATTACTTACAGCCCCCTCTGTCTGCATAAAAGCAGTGCTGGAACAAACTGGTACCGTACCCTCATGAGCATCAGTTGAACATTATTGTACTGCAGAAAGTAGAGTGTTGCTGCAAAAATGGTGAGAAAAAGGCAATTAATGGAAGAGCGACAGACCATCATGACACTGTTGTCAAAAATGTAGGTATTTCCTTCAAAGAAATTACAAAGAAAGTCAAGGTGTCAGTCAGTACAGTTTCCTTCACCATCAAAAGGCACTCAGAGACCAGGGCAAACCAACAGGAAGAGGTCTGTCAGACCCAAAGCTGCAACTGAATCAGAGGACAAGTTTCTGAGAGTTAACCACTCACAGCTCACGGTACAACATCTTCAAGCACAGCTGAATAGTGGTCATAGTAAGCAAGTCTCAGTTTCAGCTGTGACTCGAGAAGACTTCGAGCTGCAGGTTTGACAGGATGAGTTTCAGCAAGAAAGCCATTACTAAGGCATGAAAATAAGACGAAGAGGCTTGCCTGGACCATGAAACACCACTGTTAAGACTGCTGTCGTAGGATTGTCTAATATGCAAATCTCAGTGCATCCACCTCTATCTGATTGGTGGATCCAGAGGACAGCCCATATGGATTGGCTAACTAGCTGGATATGATATGATGACATTATGTGACGATACTGCCATGGACTCCCATTCATTCATCTTCGGCTCATCCCAACCAGCAGATTTTTGCAAACGTGCCCAGTGTTGTTGGTTATATACAGGAGTTTGTAGGGGTGGACTGGCTTTTTATTTGATTAGTTTTCTTCTGTTTTTCTTAGTTAGGGAGGTAAGTTGTTGTCATTTGGTTTGATTCTTTTGATTATGTAAATTTTGTAAATCCACAAGATAGGCTCCTTTTTTCTCCTTTTGTTTGTTGTTTTGGCATTAAATCCATCCCTTACGAATTAACATATTGTAAATAAATCATTATCAAACTGTACCAATTGTGCGATATGGCTGCTTGAGGTCTGACGAGGATGGATCACCCTAATGTGGTGACCTGGCCATCTCTAGATGCGCTATAACATCGCCACTGGATTACTGAAGACTGGAGGCAGGTATTATGGGCTGATTAATCAAAATTTGAAACATTTGGTTCATCACACAAGATCTTTTTACACCGTCGAGTAGGTGAAAGGATGGTTCCACAGTGTGTGGCATCAACTGTCAAACATGGAGGAGGAAGTGTGATGGTCTGGGGCTGTTTTGCTGGATCCAGGGTGACAGAGTGAGAGGCACCCTGAACCAAAACAGCTACCACACCATTCTGCAGCACCATGCAATACCCTCTGGGATGCGCCTAGTTGGTCAGGGGTTCATCCTACAGCAAGTAAATGACCCGAAACATAAGTTCAAGCTATGTCAGAACTATCTCAGGAAAAAAGAACAAGATGGTAAGCTTGAAAACATGGAGTGGTCAGCACAGTCTCCAGACTTAAACCCCATCGAGATGGTTTGAGATGAACTGGACAGAAGAGTGAATGCAAAGAAACCTACAAGTGCCACACATTTATGGGAACAGATATGGGAAGAACTTTCCGAAGGATATTTGATTTCTATTGTACAAAGAGTGCCACGGGTGTGTTCAGCTGTTATATCTGCCAAAGGTGGCTTTGATGAGTCAGAAATTTAAAAAGCATTTTGGTCTATAAATTGATTCCGTGGTTGCTTATTTGTACTATGCTTTCATTTCAGAGTGCAGAGAGACATTAAACTGCATCATTTTCAATAAGAAAATTGAAACATTTGGGCGTTCTAAAACTTCATTCTGCAGTGCATGACCTTGGCTAATCCTATTGCCCTCAATAAGGTCGCAAGTTCAATGTTCTTTTGTGTTTTTTTCCCCCCTCTGAATAGGAATGCAGATTATTCTACATGTCCATCTGAGTGATTGTGTACTGTATTGTGTGCATCCCCACCCTCTCCGTGTATCTCTCTAATCAGGGCTGGATGGCTCATTATTAACTGCAGCAGGCCACTCGAGTGACATGGAAGAGGGAGAAATTAGCAGCTGTCATCCAGTGATGAGTTCATTTCCTGACAGGCCTCTGCTCCGAAGAGTCCTGCTGCAGACGACCAGACGGCTGATGGAAACCTGCCGCTGAAGCTTAATTGGAGAGCCGGAAAAGGCCAGTGGGAGAGGAAGGGAGGGGCAAAAATGGAGAGATCAGGGTAAAGTCATAACGGTAATGTTAAGGGTCTAACTCTTAACTGAGTTTCACAAGCAGTAATTCAACTTCTGTATCAGCAGTAGGCTTTGTGGGCATAATAGATGAAGAGCAGTGGACAAAAGTGTAGTTTTAACATACTATAATAATTACTCCTGTCATTGTTATTAATCTGGTGCTGAAAGAGATAGCCAAAGCAATTTTACCTCCCAAAATGCTGCGCACTGTAAATTAGACTAACCAGAAATCAGCTCAAGGTTTACATTAAAATGTTAAGGCATAATCCAAATCTAGCAGCATACTGTGTAAAATTCTCCATTAATCGTTTCCTATAAATATGTTGAACTGAATAGTCTTTATTTTTATGTTAAATATATATTCATCTGAGTAGCACATCATATTGTCCATATATAATGTACTACATTCTGCAGCTCTCTTCAGGTTTGCATTGTCCTTTGTCCATTGTTTTGGACTGCAGCTTTAAATCTGGGTCACTTATTATGGAGCCACAAATTTTAAGCAAAACTGAGCTAAAGAAAAACGTAGGACATAAACAGCAGACAGACACAGTTAGCAAGTAAGTAGTGAAAAACAGTGGCACATGTGGTGGCTGAAGCCTCTGATGTGCCTATAGGTGGTGGAGACCAAAACTGGATCATTAAGAGAGAATGGAATTCAGGTTCCATGCTAATGCTAATTATCTGGCTGTGTGAACACGATGTTTGTTAACTTGTTAAATGTCTGTTGTTAAGTTCACCAATACTTCATAGCCAATTTGAGCCATTTGAGCATGTGTTGCTAACCTACAACTGAAGACACGATTTACTTGTCAGGTTCCAGTGGTGTGCTCTGAATTGCCGGTTTATTTTCGAGACACACTGAAGTTGTTGACATCCAAGGCTATAATTCAGTCTTGTTAGGGTAATGCCTTTACACTCTCATATAACGACATATACTTATTTATTTATTTTTTACATTGATGCTTAAAATACTTCTAAAGCCTTCAACCACTGGCTCAGTGCGAACGTGTAACATAGTATGATGGGTAATGCACACACACACATTCATACACACAAGCACTTGCACGGTCTCCTTGGGGCAACTCTCATCACTCTCCTGGGCACAGCGGAGAGGGACAGCAGCGTGGATGGAGGTTTCTCTTTTTCGCTCTCTCTGTTTCTCTGAGTATGATAAATATGGCAATTCTGTTTAGTTGCCATCTATAGAAAACATATCAGCCTGAGGATCATTTCCTTAATGTCTCCACTATTAGTTTTGGCTTCCCTTTGGCTGTATTAACATGCCGGCTGATATGCTCTGTTTGTGTGTGTGTGCGTGTCCTCGGGGCTCCAGGTACAATTCTATTA